GAGAACCTATCTCGCCCCAAAAACAATCTCATCAATCAAAAGTGACACCTTGCCTCGCATGGCGAAAACCAGTCTCCCAAAGGATATGTTACGTCCGTTCTACCGCAAACAGGTACGCATAAGTCTCCAAACGAGCGAGCAGCAAAACACCTAAACTGCTAGAACGCGCACGATAACATCATCCCCAAACACACTGGTTATCCGCACCGTAGGCACGAACTACGTTGCTCTGATTTCTCTTGCATGTTGAGAATACGTAGGCATAGGAAATCAATATCCTAGCGAGCACCCTTTTTTCTTTTTCACTCTTTCCCACAAAGGCATGCTACGTCCGTTCTACCGCAAACAGGTAACGCCTAAGTCTCCATCGAGCGAGCAGCAATATACCTAACTGCTAGAATGCGCACGATAGCAGTGTCTACCAAGACTTCCCCGCACACCGTAGGCCGAACTACGGCTGCTCTGATTCTTTACTTCGTTCAAGTAAAGATACGTAGGCACAAGGGCCACAATCCTTGCCGAGCACACTTACCCCCTATATTCGTAGCCCCGAACTACGTCGAATCTGACTTTCTCATATCAGTTGAGAATACGTAGGCCTAGGACCACGAAGTCCTACCGAGTCCGTTCTTTCTCCACTACCCTCCGTTACCTCTCTCTCCCTGTTTCTAAACCCTTCTCTCTTATTTTGGAACACTCTTTTATAACATATTATTTAGGCAAATAAATTCACACATCGACAAACAAAAGATTCCCATCGAGTACGATGGATGCGAGGGGTGCTAATACCTTCCCTTCGCATAATCGGCTTCCGAACCCGTTCATGGTTGCGAGACCATCTTATCCATTTCTTTCTTAAGGTTTTCTCGATATTTTCCTTTCCCCTCATGGGATAAATAAAGTTCGGTGGCGAATCTTCTGTCTATCTTTTCCGCCTCCCCGTCGTTGCGCGATGCATTTTTCGAGTAGCGACATTCTCAACTATAGGAATTCCAAGAGTATTCTAGAGAATATTACAATTCTAAGAAATATCTAGACACTCCAAACATTACAAGAGTATTCTAGAAACATTAATTAAAATTACCTAAGTCCAAAATAACTAAGTCCAAAAATCCAAATAATATTTTTAGGCTCAAATCAAGTTTAATCTTTCAACATAACTCAGGAAAAAGCAGCATTTGATAAAAAGGCAAAAACAGGCGGCAGAAAGTAACCATGAATTCATGAAGACAAAAATTATTCATGCACAACTCAGACAACAGGATAGAGAAAAAACAAGAATATAGAAAAGCAACTACTTGCAGCAGAACAACAACTATAAAACTATAGGTTTAATTCATCTCCCCAAACATATAGACTAGTGAGATGATTTATGAACATTGAAATGAATATGTGAGTGGACTATTATGAAATCTATAAAATAACTTTTATGTTAGCTTCTATTCATAGGTATGTACATTCAAACTTGCAAATAAAACTAAAACTGTAGTGTGCAGCAGCATGTGCCCCTGTTATCATTAACATGAAACCTAACTAGATGAGATAACAACAAATAATCTATAAACAAAACTACATTGGTCAAGAACACATAAGGTCTAAACACCAATTGACATAAAAAAAAGTAAAAAAGAACATTTTCATGTCAGGGAACAAAATCAACAAGAAACATTTTAATGAGTTTCATTATATATCTTTTTCACGAAGAATGATTTAATTAATAAAAAGACGAATTGAAACAATGAACTGATTCGAAAAATTGAAACGACGAATCAAAAAGAAAAATAGAGGGAGAGAAGAAACACTAATTCGAACCTAAAGCGATGAGAAGAAGAAGTGATTTCTTGAACTCTTCACATAATAAAAGAGAATTAGCTACTCAAAATTCAAATTAAAATACCAAATAATAATAAGAGGTTCGCATAATAATTTCCTTGAAGAATTAGTCTCCAATGGCTTCAAATACTCTTTAAATACGCCTTATGGTGTTGTAAATCGTTACTTTGCATGTAGAAATTCGTAACCCTTGAAAAAGTATCAAACTTCCCCTTTTAAAGCAGTCAAAACACATTAGAAAATCCCAAAAAACAACCCCATCACACACATGATTTTTAAACATGGTGCATCGCATGCGCGATACTTTCTATCAGGTGCTTGATTATTCCAGAAGTTAGGTATTCTTTTTAGCTTCATTTTACAACAAAAAAACCGTATCAAAACGAGTTACAAAACTTCAGATATGATCAATTTACTGTACAGACGTCAATATGTAAATTGTGCTGAAAAATACTCGTTTCTTCATAATTTCTTCTTGATTTCTTGATTTTGCTCTATTTTTTCGACTTCTTTATTTTTTTTCACACTTCTTCATATTTAGCTCATATTTAACTCAAAATTTCATTGAATTCATCATAAAAATTCATAAAAATCATGTAATGAAAAACTGTCATCATATTCAAATTAGTGGGTTTCTTAACTCCATCATATGACTTGATTCACAAAAAGCATGACTTGAATCAAAAAGTCAATTTTTCTTGTTTCTTGGGTCTTGATTCAAATCACTTGATCTATTGAATCGTCTCATACTCTTTGTTTATAGCTCAGATAAAATAACATTTTTCTCTTAAATTTGTACTAAATATATAGCACATATATAAACCACTTTCTAAAAAAAACCCATTCACAATGTCTAAACACATACACATCCACTTTTAATTCATAATTCACCACACACTTGTTCTCTCAATTTTCAAAAGAGTTCTTAATCTTGTTTTGAGTTTTGCAAACAAAATCTTTTCATCTTCAATCTCTTACATCATCTTAGGGTGTGAGATATGCGAGGATGATCATTATTTGATTAATATTTTCTTTGAAGATTTCTAGAGGATTTTGTGTGTGGTTATGGCAGGGATTGAAAAATTCATTAGAAAAAAGTAGGTTATTTTCTCCATAATTTATTTGGTAGAGTTGTGTGGTTGCCTACAAACAAAATTGGATTTTTTCATCATATTCAAACAGGTCAAGGCTCAATATACTGACATGATTGACTAAATATCACTATAGAACCAAGACTTGGAGTAGAATTCTTGGAGTTAGAAGATTTAAATCGATTTTAAGTGAAGATTTTGCAAGAGTTTAATTAGTGTCAGATACTATGTACAAGTCACCGAAGAGTTGGATCGAAGATTTTGTTTTCCAGCATTATTTGAATTATGATTGTGCTATACAATTCTATAAAATTTGTCAAAATCGTAGTATAAGAACAAAACAAATTCAATGGGCAACCAATGAAAACTGAATCAAGCGCAAACGAGGACAAAAACATTAAACCACTATAAGCCATGAAACAATCTTCTCTATCCCTATCTTTTTTATTCTATGTATAGTTACATGTTAGGTTTATTGTTTTCTTAAAATAGCATGTGATTAGGTTTATTGCATTAGTATTGACTTCGTTCATAAGTGTAGATTTGTTAAAATGGCAGTTGCTTTTTTTATCGAGAGATTGCATCCCTAAATAATTTTTTAGCTTTCTATTATTATTATTATTATTATTATTATTATTATTATTATTATTATTATTATTATTATTATTATTATTATTATTATTATTATTATTATTATTATTATTATTATTATTATTATTATTATTTAATTGCTTTCTTATCCCCCTAATGAATCTGGCCCTTTCTAAATATCCCTTAAGGATGACATAATTAGAATTTTTTTTTAGTTTAATAGTTGAACACTAATTAGTGATAGTTGTAGATCTCTGCCTCGTGTTTTTCATTCTCATATGCTATGTTTTTGAACTCCATCTGATAGCCATATTTGCACATGGTTTTTGGTGAAGTTTAGATCTTCGCTTCCATTAAAGATGTTTTAGAAAATGATTAATGAGAGACAATGACAACTATTAGCGCATTAGACATATTTGAAAGAGCCATGGAGCTTGTGGAGTTTACAATAGTGCTGCAGTTTTTATTTTTACTTTTTATAGTTTTTCAACTTTGCATAGCCTATTATAACACACACATTTAAAACTATGATAAATGCTATTAGAGGTCAGTTAGAAAGCATGACTCTATATAACACACATCTCTCTTTCTCTCTCTCTATATATATATATATATATATTTGATAAAAAAAATAGGGTTTATGAATTTATCTGGAGAGGGACAAGTTGGAGTGATAAGAAAGTAACCTATCAAACTACTTTTATTAGTTGACAAGACACAATAACTACCATTCAAACTTTTATTTAATATAACTTAGAATGATAGGTTTTTTTTCTCTTTAATGTTTAAAGGTGCTATCTAGGGTGGGTGATCAACATTGGCCTCTTTTCTTTTCTTTTTTTAATTTCGGTTTTTAACTATTTAAATGCGGCTATAAATTTCTGAAAATTTTCAATATATATATTTTGATGGTTTTAAATTCTACAAAATAAACACGAAAATTTTATAGAAATTTAAAATCATCACTAAATGGTTAAGTCTAAGGTGAGGGTTCAATTAAGTCCCTCACCGGTGAAACCCCAAACAATAACCAATAGATTAAATAGATGGTTTAGATTTAATATAATTAAAATGAGAACATGTAAAATCAATTACAGGTAATTCCTTTTACACAAATATTACAATATTCTTACTTTTCGTAAGAACCGAAACAATTTGTTTACAATTTCATCATATTCATTATTTTTCATCGTAATTAAGAAAACCCTTAGTCCCAAAAGCTACAACCTACAACACAACAGAGAAAGATTTTCTATTGAAAGTTTTCCACCGAAAACAACGTTTCAACAAGACAGTGCCGGCAAGGTCGTCGGAGAGAATTTTAAGACTAAGATTCCTTCCAATCAAAACCAAGAAAATTGATTCTTATTATAAGAAAATGTGGAGTTTTTTTTTAAGAATTGATTCTTATTATAAGAATATAAAAAGAACTGTATATTTCATTGTAGTACATATGTTTGCATTGCTGGTATTGCACGAGCACCAATGGGTGGATTTCTTGGTACTCTTTCATCTGTACCTGCCACGAAGCTTGGCTTTATAGCCATTGAAGGTAATTATGTTAACCTGCGTTGTGTCAGTTATCATTTCATTATATTTGAAACTAATTGAAGATATGCTTATCTCTGTTTTTGTTGATATGTAGCTGCTCTTAAAAGAGCTAATGTTGATCCATCACTTGTGGAAGAAGTATTCTTTGGGAATGTCCTTAGTGCAAATTTGGGGCAAGCTCCCGCCAGACAAGCTGCTCTTGGAGCTGGACTATCCAAATCTGTAGTCTGCACTACTGTTAACAAAGTTTGTGCATCAGGAATGAAAGGTGTGTAATGTACTATAAACAAGGATTATTTTCTTGGTATCTTTTAGTTTTTATTATTTCAATGAATGAACAAGGTTAATAAACCTTTCTTGGTTAACTGCAGCTACAATGCTTGCTGCACAGAGTATTCAACTGGGCATAAATGATGTTGTTGTCGCTGGTGGTATGGAAAACATGTCTAGTGTACCTAAGTACTTGGCAGAAGCAAGGTCAAAATTGATATTGACGCGTACTTGATAGTTTTCTTAAGATTAGTTATTTTGTTGAAATAAACTAACTAAATGCTAACATTTCAGAAAAGGATCCCGCCTTGGACACGACTCACTAGTTGATGGGATGTTGAAGGATGGTTTGTGGGATGTCTATAAGGATGTTGGTATGGGAGTGTGCACTGAACTCTGTGCGGATAACCATTCAATAACTAGAGAATACCAGGTATTTTGTTATTGATTTCTGTTCAGATAGGTTTTGGCACAATCATTCTATATATTATTGCTGATATCTGCATTTTTCGCACAAGATAATTTTGCAGTTCAGAGTTTTGAACATGGAATTGTTGTTCAAGAAAGTGGTTCTTTTGCTTGGGGAATCTCTTTATCTGTGAAATACTAATATGAAATGAACTTGCTACTCCATTTGATATCTCCAAAGGCCACATTACTGTATCCAAAGAACTTTTACTTATGAAAAGGAATACATGTTGTAATCCTACTGTTAACAACTTTCACATTTGGTTTGATTGACTATGTTTGAAATATGATTCATGCTTTGGTGTGAAATATGATTCATGCTTGAGTTTGTATGTGAGAATTTGAAATTCATGAGAGAGGATGAAATCAAGAGAGTTAGGATACGCCGTCGTTGCTCAATTAGTGTTTGATTAGTGTTGTTGTAATTGATTTTTTCGGCTCAGTTGCGTTGCATTTATTTCAGTTTAGGTGCTATAATAATCTGAAGACACTGTTGAGTTCTATTTAAATTTCACTATGATAAGGTGTTGTTGACAATTGGTATCGTCACACGGAGATTTTCACAACATTAAATTCAGTGATGACTCTGTAAGCAATTTCTTTAATATTGTTATTTAATGGTTTCATTGTTATAATTATATATGGTTCTTGCAGTTGCATAACGATCTTGATTGAAGATAGACCAATATTAATCTAGAGCTTTCCGAACAACAACATCCAGAGCGTTCTAAACAACATCCAGAGCTTCCCATCAGCCATCAGCCTATGCGACCATAGTTAGATTATGCTTTTATGTGATAATCAGATACTTGAAAGTTAGACTGTCGTGATTATGGATATCAGTTTTAGTTAGAATCACAAAGTTGTGTGAATGTGTACTATTTAAGCTTATGCTTATTAGAATTTTATTTGAAAGAATATTTTGTTCATGATCTTTCAAGTAGTTATGCTTGGTTGTAGACTGCTGTTTGAAAAACAAGTTCAATGCACCAATTTTTCCACTTTCTGCAAGTGGTACAGCAGCTTCATTAATAGGCATAATACGGAATTTGTTGTATTCCTGCACAGAAAATCTGTAGAAAACTGTGTCAATGAACTCTGAGTCAGTGGAAACTATCAGAATTATTGAACAATTATGAATTTTCAAAATTCCATCATTTGTAGCCATTTAAGTGAATAAGTATATGCCTGTAGATCTTGCTCAAAAGCTATGGTACACCCAAAAGAAATCAACAGAGAATTGTTAGTTTCAATTTTTACTATCACAACCATGAAGTTTCAAGAATATTTTATGATTAAGATTTTAAAATACATAATATATTATATGTCAAGATTTTGTACAGTTAAAAACCTGAAGATTTCCTTGTATATGTGTCTACATGTAGTAAAAAAAGAATGAGTAAATAAAAAACCTGTCATGAAGTTATTGCTATTGTTGATTTTGTACAGTTAAAAACCTGAAGATTTAGGGCTACATCATGTAAATTCCTTGGTATACTGGATTTTTCCTATAAAGTTTCTCTGTTTCAAAAATTGTTTCACATTATCATATGGTGTGATACTTCTCATTGATATACCCTTAAGCTGGGTTGTATATGGTAGAGACACACTTGGCTATTATTTTGCATTAATATGCATATTTTCTTAAGATTAAAAGTGTTGTTGGCTTGAATTACATCTTGCTGTCTTGTGAATATAGAGTGAAGTAGGGAAATGATCTTGCTGAGTTAATTAATGTTATAGGACAGGGCGAGAAATGCTCGAACATGGAGAGTGAAGTTAGGTGGTTTCAACATATAGAAAATTCATTGGGTTCTATAGTGGTACATTATTATAATGCGCCAATGCCCGATTCAAATTTTATGTCATATGACTGATGTTTAAGCAACAATGCGTTATGTACATTATTGCTTCTGGATATTTAGCTTCCACTGTGAGTTCTTAAGCTTTCATTTCATGACATGTTGGGTTAATAGGTTTGCTAATGCTGGTGATACTGCCATGGAAGTTGCAGAGAATACGGCATTACGGGTGAGTTATGAATTTCAAAATGCTCTTATTGTGTTGTGTTAAATTTATTTTCTTGAATTGTCTTATTGGAACCTGGGTTGTGCATTTTGTTTTGAATACTTTAAATTACAGAGCTGTTAGCCATGTTCTGTAAAGCTCTAGATACACCCAAAATTGTTGAAGTATTGGTGTTTTTATCTGGTGCCAATATGCCTATGATAGTCCTCAATGTGTGCTCAAGGAATGCCCTAAAGAATTTATGATATTTCAAAATAAAATTATTGACTAATATGTTTGTTAGGATACATCATCCATATTTTGATATATAACTCCAAACTTTTCTTAAAAGGTTTGTTCAATCTTATTTATCATATTCTATGACCAAAAGAGTGTAGTACATACTCTTCAATTCATTTTTTGAGGATATAAAAATACGAGATATAGTTGTGGGTTATTGGTGGAGATATACATGACCCATCACTATTGTTGATGGCAGAACTACAATGATCACTGATTTAATTGTATAGGGTTGTCTCTTAGTGAATTAGACTTGGAAGCTAGCTATGCTTTTTTGGATGATGAGATAATTTACTTTAGTCATGACTCATGACTTGAAAGAGTCGGGTTCTCTGGAATTTTGGTATCACCAAGACCTAGTTTCTTTACCCTAGAGTGTGTGATTTTGTTGAAAATGCGAAGTATAGTTTATATTAAAACTACGGCAGCACAATATGATTTGATCAAAGTCTCCCATGATCTAAACAACTGATTGAGTACAAGTGTATAAGTATTTCATTTCCTGGTTTTTAATTTTTTAATATGTTGTAGTTCCTTGCCTAGTTGTTTTATATCTACATGTTATAGGGTAACACTAACAAATTTAGTATTGATTTGTATGGATTCTTATATGGATTTGGCCTGACATAGCTTGTATTTTCCAGCTCAATACAGATTGGTTTCGTCCTGCCAAGGCATATCTCAAGCAAACACTGATCCAGAAGTTGATTTCCGAACTTGTGGAAAACCATGGTTCACGTGAAATCTCATACAATACTTAGGAGATGATGGGGTAGCAGCACTGGAAACCTAATGCAACAAGTTGACCATGTCCAATTATTACAATAGAATGGCGAACACCGAGTTGAATATTTATGCTAATGTATAGTTTCATGTCTTCAAAACTCTGCAAGGATATCAGAAGCAACTTTCTACTGGTTAAGGAAGAGTATTTGACACACTCTGCATATTGGAAGCAACACCATGCACTAGTGGAGGAATCACATTTTACACAAGTTTGACAGCAATTGCGAAAATTCTAAGACAAGCAGAATTAGATGATTAGGATCATAGAATAATAGGAAATTTATAAATTAGTTATAAGACATGATGTTGTACTGTCATTTTTTATCAGTGTAACATTTTCTGCATTTTCATTTTGTTATCAATGTAACATTTCCTCCACTGTTTGTTTGTAACTTTTTTTAATATAATGCAATAAAGTCATTTATTTCATTAAAATTTTCAATCGTGCTTAATTCTTGGTTTATCGATTGTTGAGAGTTCGTCATTGTTTTCTTGGTTCGGGGATCGATTATCTCTTTGGAGAGAGTTTTCAAGTTATTCTTTGATTTGAATACATCTTTCTAATTGAAGATGGATGCTTAGAGAAGTTTTTCCTTTACGACATTGTCTTGTGATTCAAGATTGTGGTTTGTTAAGGGGGTAATTTCGGTTCGGCATTGTGAATTTTTTTATTAATCTTTTAGGGTTTGGAATAGTTTTGTGTTTAGGTGATTAGATTAGGGGGAAATGTGGAGGTGAGAATTGGAGTCAGTTGTTTAGTTTAGAATTCAGCCTATAACAGTTTTGTTCTAGGAGTGGGGTTGGTGAAGGTTGGTTCTGCTTTTTGTGTGTTGGTTCTGATCATGTTCAGTGTTCATTATGGACAAAAGTGAAACTGCTTTAACTCCACAACGGTTGAGAAGTTCAGGAAGTGTTCCCAGTTCAGCCCACCATTTTGCATCTTCATCTAATCACATTGATACTCAAACTGTAGCTCATCACTCAAGGAATAGGTCTTCTAAGAAAACTAGTGATTTTGTTAGTCCTCGTTCTGTGTTCCTTGAACGAACATTTTTGTCAAATTCTCGGAGGGGCACAACCAATGGCTTTGCAAAAAATGCCTATAGTAGTTTCAACAGAAATCATCGTGATAAAGACCGTGATAGAGATAAAGATAGATCCAACGGTTTAGACCACTGGGATCGTAAATGTTCTGAACCATTGGCCGAACTCTTCTTAGTAAGGACAGAGAGGGATCCTCTGCAGCGCTCTCATTCATTGGTCTCTAAAAAACAGAACGAGCTTGCTAACCGCAGAGGGGCTGTAGATACTAAATCTGCTGGCAACTCCAACCAGAGCAATTGCAGTGATGCACTTTCTGGTGGTAGTATCAGTAGCAATTATCACAAAGCTGTTTTCGATAAAGATTTTCCATTACTCGGTGGAGATGAAAGACCCGGGTCAGCCGAACAAGGCACATTTTCTAGGCAAGTTCAATGCAAATTCATGAGGAAGAGCATAAACGGTTTGGTTCTAATTCCTTCAAATCTCAAACAATTTTGATGAAATTAAAGTCAAAACCACTTGACTTTTTATGAGGAAGAGCATGGTATCAACCATAATTTAAAATGATGCACACAACTCAAGACACGATTGGTCATGCAAGATAAAGCTTGAGATGCATTTCTTGAGTCAATGGACAAAGTAAATGTAAGCAGGCTGATTTTGCTGATTTTCAAATGTTCACAAGTGTCAAATATGTACTAGATCAAGTTCCAACAGAAATCTAAATCGTTCCAACAGAAATCTAAATCAAAAGACAATGTGATAGAAATTTGGCACATGAGTTGCTAAAGAACATGATTTGAACAACCAAAACATAATGATCAGACAAAAAAAACTCAGTCGAGCTAATGCACCAAATGCTAGACATTCAAGGATCTCTAAAACAAACTTGTTTGATAAAGAAATCAAAATCTGGAGGACTGTCCAAATCATGACAGTAAGCCTTAAAAACAGGAAGGCAAATGACATATTGGCATGTGTAATCCAAACATGATGA